TTTGGAGCTAGAGTTAAGATTGTGATGTTTTGTTTACAAAAATAAAGTTCAGGGTATTCTATGGCTCTCAACTTGTATTCTAAACTTTCCCAATTACTAATAGAATCAAAATGAACAAAATTCTAGGTGAATTAGATGCCTTGGAAGCTCTAAAAACCACGATGGAGCCAAACTTTCTTATAATTGGAAAATCTCCCTTTAGAATGAAGTTGTGGCCATCAACTTTTTCTCTAAAATTTTCCAAAGAATTGGGATTAGACTTAAAGTTGATATTTTTTTTATGGGATTAGGCCCTTTTAAGTCCTTTGAATAATCGTTAGTACGATTACTAGTGTGCATCAATCCCAGTTCAATTAGGAAACCAGACCGGACCAAACCGACCGTATTTGGGTGGTTCCCGGGGGGATTGATTGGAATCGGGAATAACCATTCTAGTTCTTGGTTCCACATAAGGAACTGGACAGACAAATTGGCCAAGACTTCTCAAATTTTTATTTTTTATTCTGAAGCAAACTATAATTAGTAAATTATTTTATTTTAATGTTGGAAAACTCCCACTTATGGGGAATAGAAGAAACAAAACAAAACAAAAAAAGAGAATACGAAATCATGGGTTCCAGGGTGCCAGGGTGGAAACTGACTAAGTACATATAACTAAATATTTTTTTTTCAAATTAGAATCAAACCAAATTGTAAACATGAATTGGGAGGACAAAAAAAAAAGAATTGGGAGGACGTCAAATAGGTTCGAATTACAGTATACTTATTCTTTTGAAGTCATCTCTAAGATCTTGGAGTTTACTATCAAGTTCGATTAAACCCTATTTCTTTCAAAAGAATCCAAACGGGCAAATCGTACGCTTGAGTCCTTAGTGCCGAACTTTCCTTCTTTTTCTATTTTTTGTCCTTCTTTTATTGGTGCAAATTCAAATAAAAAATAAAAAAAGGTTGCAAATCACATACAGTCGCGGTGGCTTTTCACTGCCACTTGTCGACTTGCGATAACATTGGAAAATGATGTTGCGAGTGCTAATTCTACTGTTATTTCATGTCCCTAAGGTGGAAAAAAAAAAACAGAGAGAAAAAGAAACGAAAAGCTAAAACCATTCATCAATCCGAGTCACCAATGGCGTTTTGTGTTAATTAATTATTAATATTCCGTACAATAAGATCATCGGCATGTGTGCAAAAATGACAAATCTTCAAGAATCTGACTTTTCCGACCCCAAAAAGAGAGGAAACATATATATATATATATATATATATATATTTTAAGCTTAATTATGGCATTTATCTGGGAAATAATCGATCTGATTTGTTGGTAGAAGGGCTATATACTCGCCAAATTAGAGGACAAGAATAATTCTTTATAGACCTTGAGGAAAATAATTTTTTTAAAAATTTTCTCATATTTGCAATTTTCCCATTTCGAAAGGGAATTAATAACTACTCTTTTATATATTTGTTTTTTGGGCAGAGGGGCTAAATTGTATCCACTTACAAGTTACTCAAATTCAAAAAAGAAAAAAGCAAAAAAAGAAATATCGGTTTTTCTCATATGAAAATGATGAGATCAGTCCCTTTTATTCTTATAAAATGAAATGAGGAATTTTTTAATTACAAAAAATGGGCGTCTAATCAACCTCATTTTCTTGATTAGTGCATTTCAACAAATGCGCTCGCCGGATATTTTATAGGTTGATTCGAGAATCAATGAGAAAGTCCTAACCAGAGGGTAACATCATTTCTAGTCTGCATATATCAGTCACAATCTTAGGGTATAGTTTTGACTTTGGGAGGCATCTAAATCACGAGTTCTGTCATTCTCAGTTTGTTTGATTGGAAAGCCACTTGAAGCACGTTGCATTATTGATGCATTAAGCTTAATTATCTGTTGATCAAACTCACTGCAAGTTGCGAAAAAAAATTTAGATGCTTGATTATATCACGCTTCAATTTTCATGATAAATAATATAACTAATATGCTATTGCTTGACAAAAGGGAAATTAGACGTTTAATTATTTGTGTGTATATGTGGGATAAGAGAGAGGGTTTGTGCTTGATGATTCGTTTTACCAATTAAACCCATTAGATCTCTATTTACTAATGTGTCATTCATTTTAATGGGGTAAACTAATGAAGCCAACTTACCTCATAAACGAGGACAATAATACTTTTTCATGATGTGACACCAGTTAATCTCAATATCAATATCAATATCAATATGACCTGTCTCGTATGATACGGTTATACAAATTTGGTTAGATAAGTATGGATATGAGAACTGTACGCATAAGTTAAAATGAGCTGGAACAGATGTGGAATATGAGAAAGCATGGATATGACTTAAAGGAAGTTAAGGACTAGAAAAAGCCGGTGGGGATAACGTGCTTTTGGTGAGAGATTTTGCAAGATTTCTGCTAACTAGTACATGATATACATAGTGAAAGAATATCACCCAGGTTCTCTAATTAACTTTTAATCTGTAAAACATTCTCCTATTCATGTGGTGAAAGCTAAAAGGAGAATGGGGAAATTAAGATGGAAACCATCCTATTATAACTAGAAAACCACCCTCGACTACTACGACATCTTCATTTGTTTCGTGTTAGAGAGAAACAACGTAAAGACGCCATTCTCCATTAACGCACATCAACGACCGAAGGAGTAGAGACCCAATAGCTATGTCAAGTTAGAACTACACACAACCAGGTTCAAAAACCATCTCAAAACCCTAGTTACCTCCTAAGTTACACTTGAATTTTTCGTATATCTTCAATTTTGGGAGAAATGATTATACTTTGCAAAGGGATATTTAGTTTATCTAACTGGGATTTAAGAAATAAAAAATCTGAATTCGGATCACGTTTAATCTTTTCAGAGCGGGTTGTAAATAGGTCTGAACTCATCAAACCGCAATTAACATTTTACCTTTCGAGTCGGTCTTTTTGACTTTCAATCGGAGTACATATAATATCCGGGTAGCTCATAATACCTTTATTTGCACTTGTTATGAGTATAATACGTATCTACTTTTACCGGAGTGAACTACATGTGAAAATGATTTGCCACATAAGTGTTCATAGCTGTAGTCCCCATGCATTTGTACTCGTATTAACCGAAATTGGTGCGTATACAAGTAAGAAAAGGGAAAAAGTATATGCATATTTCATGACAAACAAACTAAACATAGCTCGTTCTTTGGCATGGTGATCAATCAAACTTGCTTGTTTGCCGACACTTACCAGCTAGACATCTGATTTACACTTGTGACTTTAATTCCTTCTAAAATGTGGAAATAAAAAAAATTTCCTAAATTTTGAAAAACTTACGAAAATGTTATGTACGATTCTGCATGTCAATATTCGATTATATAATTTGAAAGGTTTCATGTATTTCGAATTTCCATAAAAGTGAAAAACGTAATTTCGGTGAAATTCATAACAAAAAAGTCAAAAAAGTTAAAAGAAAAGATTACTCTGGAAGATACGTCTAGAAATATTAAGGATTTGTTTAGTAACGTTTCTGTTCAGAAATAATTTTTTCTATTTCTATTCCCTAGACGAGTTTCTGAGCAAAAAAACGCATTTAGTAACTGCACAAAATTTCTATTCTTAGAGTAGAAAAAGAACATAAATGTGTTTGGTAGAACACTAAAAATTTATTCTCCTAATTTTTTCATTTAATTATAAAATTGTTGGTGGAGACTTAAGGATTCATGTTTGGATAAAATTGTACTAGAAATAGAATAAGAATATATTATGATATAGAATTGGATGACCTTAATACAATCATAAAGAAAATTACTCCTTATAAACAAAGCAAATACCGGGTGGTGGTTGAGGAAATTGCAGTTTATGGGACTTAATAATTCATGTTTGGATAAAATTGGACTAGAAATAGAATAATGATATATTATGATATAGAATTGGATGACCTTAATACAATCATAAAAAAAAAATTACTCTTTATAGACAAAGTAAATACAAGGTGGTGGTCAAGGAAATTGCAATTTAGGGTGTAGGATTTTAGGATTTGGGGTTAGGGGTTAGGGTTTTAGGATTTCGATTTTGAGGTTTAAGGTTTGGAGTTTAGGTTTTAGGGTTTAGGTTTTAGAGTTCCGGGTTTTGGGTTCCGGGTTTAGTATTTCGGGTTTTAGGGTTTAGGTTTAGAGTTTTAGGGATTCGGGTTTTGGGTATTGGGGTTTGGGATTTAGAGTATAGGATTTGGGGTTTATGGTTTGGAGTTTTGCGTTTTAGGATTTAGGGTTTGGAATTACGATTTTAGGATTTAGGTTTTAAGATTTCGGGTTTGGAGTTTGGAGTTTTGGAGTTTAGGGTTTAGTATTTCAGGTTTGGGATTTTAGGGTTTAAGATTTGAGGTTTAGAAGGTTTAGGGTCTTAGGGATTTTGGTTTTAGGGTTTTGATTTTAGTGTTATGGGTTTTAGGGTTTGGGTATTGAGGTTTAAGGTTTTGAGGTTTAGGGCTTTAGGTTAAGGTTGGTTTAAGGTTTAGTATGAGAATATCTTGTGAAAGAGAGAAAGTTGATCTTGTTTCTCTATTGTTTCTTTTTTTGTTCCAGAAACAAAAAAGCATATTTTTTTTACTTCTTATTTCTGTTCTAAATCTATTCCCTGACCACTTTTCTGTTCCGAGAAACAAAAAAACTAACTGACGTTATTAAACTGATTTCTGTTCTTTTTCTGTTTCAAGGAACAAAAAAACAAAAAAACAGAGAAACATAAATGCTACTAAACAGGCCCTAAATAACAATGATTGCTAGGGTGACGGAAATGGAAGTGTACAAGATTACACGGTAATGCCTCGATGGTTAATAATGCATCTAGACATTAATTAAAGGAAGAAAATAACAAGAATGAGGAAGAAAAAAGAGCTAAAGCACTTTCATGGGGACCATAGCATGTCTCCTCATGTTGCCCATTGATGCGAACATTTTTCTCACCATTTTATTTTATCTCCTCTCCTCTCCTCTCCTCTCCCATATTCCTTCCTCCTCCATCTTTCTTAGCTCTCTTGAATAGCAAGTAGGGATAAATCGATCCGTGTTATACCTACTACCGAAAACTTTCAAGAAAAAAAAGAAAACCCTAGAGCCACAACATGTCAATCGAAAAAGGGAAAGGCATGGCTGAAGGATCGTCAAGATCTACGGCTTCCACGAATGATCAGCACCACCAGCAAAGGGCGCTACCGTTGAGTCGTTATGAGTCGCAGAAAAGGAGAGATTGGAATACCTTTGGACAGTACTTAAGGAATCAAAGGCCCCCCATCGCAATTTCACAGTTCAATTCGAACCATGTTCTTGAGTTCCTTCGCTACCTCGATCAGTTCGGGAAGACTAAGGTTCACTTGCACGGCTGCATCTATTTCGGGCAGCCCGAGCCGCCGGGCCCTTGCACGTGTCCCCTGAGACAAGCTTGGGGAAGCCTCGATGCACTCATCGGAAGGCTGAGAGCTGCTTATGAAGAGAACGGTGGGTTACCGGAAGTAAACCCGTTCGCTAGCGGCTCGATCCGGATTTATCTTCGCGAAGTTAAGGACTCTCAAGCTAAGGCTCGAGGAATCCCTTACAAGAAGAAGAGCAGGAGAAGAGGCGCAACCAAGGCCAAAACTGATGGCTACAATAACATCCCTATCAGTGAATCTTGAAGATCTAGCTACTACTTGAGTTTGGTAAAGTCTCTATTTCCCTAATTGATAAGGCATTTCTTTGAAAGCGAAACTTGCTGTAGTATGAAATTGTTTCCAATTGAAATGATATAGGTATAACGCGACGACGAGTAAGAGCGTGATGTCACTGATTTTTGAGAAGCCAAACTTTTGGCTTTAGAAGTTTAATTACAGCTAAGCTCGAGAGCACTGATCTCCATTTGAAGAAACCCTAGCAAGTAGCTAGGTTCTTTAAAACCCTAATCTGCCTAGTATTAGGCTTGAGAAGGACATTACTACACTTCTAAGCACTATTCTGTTTTTTAATTGCTTCGGGGAGTGAAGACATGGGAAACCACATCGACTACTCTCTCTCTCTCTCTCTCTCTCTCTCTCTCTCTCTCTCTCTCTCTCTGTGCGCGAGGTCTGCCAGGTCTGATTTGGGTTTTCTATTACCTCGCTATCTAGTCCCAGCTGATGGTCACAGTATCTTTTGCTTGCCAATTGCCAAGGATGAGCACAGCATCATATAGCGGCAACTTTAGCTTTCTAGTTCATGAATGAAATATCATTTTAATTTGTTGTTGTTGTGGTTCTTCTTGTTAGCATAGCTATCATTCTGTTTAATTTGCATAAGGTGCATAAGCATAATCTAGGCATCTGAGAAGAGGATGCCAATTTACCTGCCCAAACTATATGACCGTATTATCTTTGAGCTTAACACCTTTATATCAATCACGATTGCAGTATACTGATTCCATATTGCTATATCCTACACATCTTTTTTGATAAAATTGTATCATGAATTCTCTATTGCAGGGGAAGGCGAATCGAAGCATTTTGAAGTGCCAATTTCCTTTTATGATAGGAAAGCTCTACCGCATCGAAATCTATCTGTTTGCTTTTTTCGGTCTGTTAACATTTCTTCTTAAACAAGACCATGTTCTATGATTTCTAGCAAAAAAAAGACCATGTTCTATGATATTGGCTTCTATTGCCTTTGTTTAAATGCGAGTGTCAAGGGCAACAATTAGAATGAATTTTTATTTCTCTGTCTCTTTTCATGGTTAACCTGCTTGTTTTTAGCATTTTTCAGCGATAATTTTTACTATCCCATCTCTGATCTATGTTTGTTATTTGACACAAAAAAAAAATGCTCCCAACATATAGATTGGCGTACAGTTCTTTGCATTCATGGTTGATCATTAACAATCTTTGAACAGATTCTTCTTGTCCCGGGAAATTACCTTAATTTCCCAGAAGAGGTAACCAAAATAGACATGGTTTGGACATATCCCAGATGTTCCCCCACTTGATTACGTCATACCCCACATTTTCATCATGCAATCGGATCTTGGATTCTTTTAGTCTTTTCAGACAACAAATACATTTTGACCTAATTAGAGCTTTAAATAGATTGCAATCTGTTTTGCATCAAATAAAGCTATAAATATAGTCCTCCCTCGTATGTTTTTTAGGGCTTAGGCAGAATCTTTTCACAGCTAATCTTCCACTAATGTCTTGGTTCCAAATGTCCATATGATAAACCCTTATATGAGGTGAGGTGGCATTTGAGATTGAGCGTGTTAATTCTTGATTATATCTAGCAAAAAGAACAAGCTTCGACCCATAATTAACTCCAATTCATGAGATTTAACTTCTCTTGGATTCAAAAGAACGCATGTACCTATTTTACCATGGCCCGGATTTGAGTCTGGATAGGACCGGATAACAAATGATCCTATCCGGTGTTTGGTGACGGACTGGATAAACCTGGATACATCCGGATAAAATCCCGGATAAGAAATCCGGCCTAGGGGGTGGGATAAACCCGTATTGAATATAAAGTTCAAAAAATAAGTAAAAAATTCATATTTTATCTTTTAACGGAGTGATAAAATGACGCATCGAATATTGTTTCGCCGACATCACCCGCACAAGGATCACCATAAAAAATTACCGATCATCATTCACTTCCGACCACCGTTGCCTCTGACCAGCATAGTTGGCCAGCAATCATGTTAGGACAAGTGAGGATGAAAAGGGGCCTAAAGACGATCGTCGTGCCGGGTTTGCATAGATCATTCTTTCCACCCCATTGCCTACATCCTTCATGTCGAGCCCGACTTTTCACGCATGACTCATGAGTCGGCTGTTCACGTGCTAATCGACAAAGAACAACCAGCAACCATAAGCTTCTTGGCGACCATGCTCTCAAGCATCGATTTCCACCTGTTGTGTATCAAGAACGCTGCAATGGCACCGTGGTGCAAAACCTCCTCCTACGAGCCCATCCCATAACGTACACCTTCTCCAATGTCGCCTCTCTTACCGCTTTCTTCGGAAATGGAGTTCAGTTGTACGATCCATAGGAAGTGCCTCCTGCTGTTCACGAGGCCGTCCCAAAAATACATGAACTTGTGTTGGTTGAGAGATGTGCTTCCGTCCAGAGTCGTGGTCGAGAGGGTTTGAGTCTCACGTATAGGAAGAGTAAAGCTAGAGATGGAATTTTCAAAGATTTTTAAAAATTTTCAAATGAGAAGGATTTTCAAAGATTTTCAATTTTATCTTAGGTTGCGGATTTTTGAAAATTTTCAAAGATTCCAAATCCTATCTTAGGTTGCACCAAATATATGATAGGATATTTTTACAGTCCGATGATATGTGGAGGATTCAAATCCCCATTTATCCTATCATATTCCAATCCAAATCCGGACGACAACCAAATGCACAGTACAAAAGGCACTCATCCAACATAAAATATTTACGAATAAACATTTTCACAAGCTGTATACAACATAAAAATCTTGAAAGTCTCACACCTGCATTATACATCTCTCAGTGCATTGCATCCATTTGAATTTGTCTGTTCGATGGACTATCTTTGACTAAAAGAAGACCATGCAATCCTGTACTTTTTATTTTTGGTTGAAGGTAAATATTTCATTAATATTTGAAGATCTCAAGATGATATATGAGAGGTCCACAACAAAACAAACAACAAAGTAAAACAATAAAGCACAATCTGCTCTTATAATCACCTTTCATCCTACAAGATCTGATTTGTTTTTGGCATCAATGCAGAAGAAACGGCGGCCAATTATCGAATCTCGCATCATAAGTGATGAGCACATACCGTAATCTCCTTTTCCTAAAACTATGGCTTGCCCAGTGGATGATGCACGCTTAGATTCAGTGTCCTCAACACTATCACCGAACCAGCTCTCAAATCTAAAGCTAGATCAGGAGAGATTAAACGAGCACAAAAACGCTTCTAAGGAACTCCAGATCTAAATCTAAATCGAGAGGGAAGAACTTCCGGATCTAGATCGGGAGATGAGAGCTTCCAAAACTCGAAGTAGTCGTATAAGGGCTTCTAGTGCAATATAAGTCCTCTTTGGAGGATCTGAAGTGGGTTAATTTTTAATGATGGAAGCGGAAGATCTGCCATCGAGCAGAGAAGAGCATCAACATCAAGCAAAGAAAAAACAAAAAAATAAATAAAAACAATAAATACTCCCAAATCAAATCCAGAATGAAAATCTCAATTCGAATTGAGAAAATGGAGCCTCCCTCAATCAAGAGTAATTTCTCATCGAAGGAGCTTGGGGTGGAAGAGAAAAAAGGAACCAGATAGGGCTGGGTTCAGTTCTGTACTTTTTTTTTTTTGGTCAAAAGATATTTCTATTCATTATCAAAATGATACCTGAAACGATCCATAGGAAATTTCAAAAGTCACAATAACAAGACATGCATGTAAAACTCCAAAACAAACCAAAAACCATAAATCAATATACATCATCAAAGCATAATTGACAAAGATAATCACACGCTCGTCTTTCAAGAACATATCTGCGATTGCATCCAAGCGAAAGGATCTGCGACCGATCACCGAATCACACATTTTCATCAGTGATGACCACACGCCAGGATCTCCATCTGTAATTACGGTTTTGCATTTCGGCAGTGTGCGCCAAGGTTCGGCGTCCCCAACACCATTACCGTACGGAGACAATATAAACATGTTGAACAAGCTCAGATCTGACACCTATAAGAACAAGCCATTTAGCAAGTGCGAAACTCCGAAGCTTTTAACAAAAATACGTTGAACGAGCACAAATTTGACACCATAGCTGCTGTGAACATCATTAAAACTGGAGACGGAATACTTATTCATTAAAACTCCTAAATTTAGAGTTAGATAGGAGAGAAAAGCTTCCAAATCTAATATCGGGAGAGCAAAACTCCCAGATCTAAAATTAGACGCGAGAGCAAGGAAAGAAACAAGAAAAAATTAAACGAAAGAACAACGAGAGAGGGGAGGGAGAGATCTAGGTCAAATCCCTCCCTTCCAGAAGTTGAAGAGTTGAAGAACGGACGAAACACGAGAGAGAGAGAGAGAGAGAGAGAGGGAAGAAGGAAGGAAGCGAGAGGAAAAGTTGTACGCCTGCCGGCTAAGGAGCTGAGAGAGTCAGTCCTGTACTTTGATCAGTATGATATAGCACATTAAAGGGTGATAACACTAATGCAATCTACCTTTCTATCAATTCCTCCCAAACGAGGAATATAGCACACACATATGTACTTCGTATCTCCAGAATGCGAACATGGTCTGAGACTCTGAGTTGTCTTCTGCTGCTCTCAAAGCTATAGATTTTCCTCTTTGGTTTAAACATCAGTGTTTGGGTAAACATCGAACTGAACTGATAAAATTAAAATATAAGTCGCAAAAATTCAAGAAACGAATAATAAGTGCTGGCGAGTTTAATTAGTGAAATTAGAAATAAGAAGTCACTGGAATTCATTAGTAATATCGATTATTTAGTACTAAATATGGAATTGTCAACATCACTAAAAGTTTTGGCAATATAATCGGTAAGGCTAGCTACTTGACTAGAGTAGGCTTTGTCTCAGCTCATTCGGAAACAAAGTCAATGCGGATCGCAATCCTGGGATAAAACGCTTGATTCCTGGGGGTCCAAATAAAAGGAGCAACAAATCTTTATTTCATTTCTAGTTTATTATTTGCCAGTTAAGGAAAATATTACCCTAAGATAAGATTTTTGTGACTTCTTTCCACTAAAGTGGTGTTGACTTGGATGGGATTAATATAATCTAAATATTTAGGATGAATATCATTGTCACATCCCAGTGATCCCCACCCTGCAATATAATGCTATGATTGGAGGGATAGGAGAGTTTTAAAAGTGTATGATTTTTCCCTAACTAAGAATCCTAAGCATGCCTAATAATGCATTTCAACCTTTAAATTTAGAAAATAAAGTGCTCAATAATAGGGCATCAACTGTCTCGTGCACGTAATGGCTGAAACACAACGGGAGCGATGAAGCTTCTCTATTTGATAAAGATCTGCTTCGACTCCTAGTATTTGATCTTTTGTGCCCATAGTCAGAAGCTGTGAATTGAGAAGGCGACCCAGACGGATATATTCTTTGCAAACACAAGTAAGCCGGGTTAATATTAGTATCGTGGCGAATGCGAAAACTTTGATTATAGCTGCGCTTAATAGAATGTTTAGGAGAACCTGTAAAAACCCACCGGCCCCTCACCGGTCCCCACTCAGTCCACACCTGTGCCAGTGCACCCTTTTGTCACTAAGCCGCACGGTCGACATCTCCGACCAAGCAAGAATTGTTGTACATCTCATGTCACTTCTATTTCAGCCCATTACAGACCATAGTTCTCTCTTCTTCAGTGAGAACAGATGAATCTGAGATCCTCAACCCAGAAGATTTATTTACTGATCAAAATAAAGAGAAACCAATGACCGATGAATGACATCCCTACTTTATGCAACACCGAAGCATCAATACTCCTGCATGATTCAGATTTCCTAACGGGAAAGTATTCAAACACCAATCGGTGGGTTATTTATTCAATTAAGAACATTGGAAATCGGCAAATTGTTTAACATGTTTCTGTTAT